TGATCGATACGACGATGATAACCTTTTATCGAGTTGTAAAGGATCACAGCGCTCGCGAGATGATGCGGGTCGTGCAACGTGATCTTCGAGATCGACCGGTGCGGCAGTCGAGTGTAGTGGCAAGTTTCCGGTTGTGTCGGAGCTTAATGGAGCAACCGGAGACGGAGCATGAGTGAAAGTGAGTATGATAACAGCGAGGAAGCGAAGATGAGGTAGATGAGGAAGCCATGCAAGGCAAAGCGGTATGGTGCTTGCGTGATCGTTCGAAAATTCGCCTACCAGCTCATCTCAAGGACTTCGCAGTGTCAAGCACGAAAACAAATGTCGGCGCCGTGGCGTCGGCTTGGTGTGTTCCGCTGATGTCGGGAGAACGAGGCGCGACCCACTGTCTACGAAGCCTGAGCGTGCATCCGACGGCGACAGGTGGAAGATGGCGATGGACAGTGAGATGGACTCGTTGCTCAAAATGGTACTGGGAGCTGGTCGATCTGGCCGAAAGGTCGCAAAGCCATCGAGACAAGTGGGTCCTACAGCGGAAGTTGAATGCCCGGATGGGTCGAATCGACAAGCACAAGGCAGCGACTCGTCGTCAAGGGGTTTCGCTCCACCGCAAGGCGTGTAGACTTCAACGACACGTTTAGTCCGTGGCCCAAGTCGGGCACGATCCCGGATGATGCTCAGTGTCGCCGCGAACGAGGGTATGGCTTTGATGCAGTTCGACGTGTCCGACGGGCGTTCTTGTACGGCGAGCTAGACGAAACAATATATGTTCAACAACCAGAAGGCTACGAGGATGCGTTTCGGGCAAGGTGTGCTTCATTGAAGCGGAGTCTGTATGGATGAAGCAAGCACCTCGGTGGCTGTAGAGCATGCGATTTGGCTCGTTCATGGGCCAAAGCGTGGTTTTCGGGTCAGCAAGGCGGACCCGTGTCTCTTCATCCGGGGACAACAAGCAGGGGAAGCTGCTGTTGGCGCTGTACGTGGACTGAAGCGGTCTCACAATCGCCGGGACCAGACATGATGAGGCGGCGTTGTACGTCATTGACGAACTGCGCGGACGAGTTAGCGTCACCGTTGAAGGCCAGCGTCTTATTATCGGACTCGACAGATAGAGCGACGTGAAGAGTGGGCACGCGTCAAGATGGTCAGGCGGCTTACGCGAGGAAAGTGTTGGACGCGTTTCAACATGGAAAACTGCAAAAGCTGTGACGAACGCGATCGCAAGTGACGGTACGGGACAAAGGGAAAGCTGTTAACGATGAGTACTGCTTTCCCGTATCGGTCGGGCAGTGGGGGGCACTGATGTATCTGGCGGTTGTTAGGCTACGCGCCGGATATTGCCTACGCCGTGAGCGTGTGTCGAGGGACGCTTGAGTCGCGCGGAGCAGAGTGACGTGCAGAGGTGAAGCGTATTCTGCGCTAATCTGCGTGGACAGTGAACGTCGCATATGAGTATAAGCCGAAAGTTCAAGAGCGGTGTGAAAATGATGAAGCAGGATTTTTGTTTGGCTGCGTGCGAGCGTGAAACGGTTCTTTCAACGAGTTGTTTCAAGCCGTGAGTTCAACGAGTGTTTCAGTAAAAATTAGTATTAGGGGAAGTTTGAGTTTTTATATTCAAGTGGCTGGCGATCTACTGTACGGTGGTAATACCTAATCTTACTGAAGGCTAGTCTTTCCGGGTAGATATTGGCGACTGTTCTGTTAAACGGCCCTTTTGTCTTAAAAATAAAATGGGCTGATTTTGATCAAAACTTAACAGCTAGTTACTACTAGCTTGCTACTGCTATGCTACTGCTACTGCTACTGCTACTGGCTACTGTCTACTGGCTACTGCTATGCTACTGCTACTGGCCTGGCCTAATGCTGCTGGCTACTGACTAGCTACTCATTACTACTACTGCTGCTGCTGCTGCTTGGGCTAGCTGCTGCTGACTGCTGCTGCTGCTGCTTAACTGCTGCTTAATGCTGCTGCTACTACTACTGGTACCTATTACTTTTTGGCCTAAACTGCTACTGCTACTGCTACTGCCTAGGCTGGGCTACTGGCTAGACTGCTACTGCTACTGCTACTGGCTAGCTGCTACTGCGGCTAATCGCTGCGGCTACTAACACTATTTTACTACTACTGCTGCTGCTGCTGCTGCACTGCTGCTGCTACTACTACTGCTGCTGCTGCTACTGCTGTCACTACTACTAAAAAGGACAGGTAGAAACATTCAGTCTGATTTCCTTTTTTTCAGATCCACATAAGCGGTCACCGGACTGCCAACCATCGAAGGAATACCGTCGCCCAGTCATACGCGGGCGCATCACTGTACGCCAGTGGCTCCCTCTTCGCGCAGGTGAGCCACGAGCGTGCAGCGCCACCTAGCAGGAAACCCTCACGTCGATCGTCCGTGTATTCTCATCGTTCCCACAGTGTGTCTGCGCGTTATCGAATCTTGCTCGATCGGAACCCGATGTCAGTAAACAAAATTTGAGAAACGAAATCGGTCTTAACCTGAACTTATAGACGCGAGGGTGGGCAAAAACGCGCACCCAGCGGCTGCATGCGGGCCCTCTCACGGGGATTCTGTGCGGCCGCGCGCGGAAGCAAATTAAAAAATAAAAATAAAAAAAAAAAAATAATTCTTTTTTTTAAATGCACTAAATTTTTGTGAAAGTCTAATTCTATAATAGTAGACCGTCGAATTAAAATGGTTTTATCGTTCGTCTGGAAAATTTTCACCCCCCGTTTTTTTCCGATGCAGCAGCGCCACCTATGCACGAACCAGTCGTCGTCGTATCGTGAAAATTTTCTCGCGATGTTTTGCAGCCGCAGTAGCGCCACCTAGATGCGCGCATCGGCGGTCGTCGTATCTCAAAATTTTCTCTGCAGCCGTTTTTGGCAGCCGCAGGCAGCGCCACAGTATGCGCGCGGTCGGCCCCGTCGTTCGTCGACGTAGCGCCGCAGGAGGAGGAGGGGCGGAGGAGGCGGCGTCGAAGAGAAGGAAGAGGGAGGGTGGCGTCGCGAGAGAGAACGCGGCGGCGGGTGAGCGAGGTCGGAGGATGGGCCATGCGTCGGACCATGATAAACTATGTGTGGCCAGAGGAGAGCGTCCGGGGGAGTCCGCGCGCAGGGTGAGAAAAGCAGTCTGGGCGCTGTGGTCTACTGGTAGCGTCGAAGGTGGAGGAGGAGGGGAGGAAGGAGGAGGAGGAGGGTAGAGGAGGAGGAGGAGAGGAGGAGGAGGAGAGGGGAGAGGAGGAGGAGGAGGAGGAGAGAGAGAGAGCGGCCGGGGATCCGCGCGCGCGTGATGGGCGCCGTGGGTCTACTGGTGGCGTCGAAGGTGAGGAGGAGGGGGAGGAGGAGGAGGAGGAGGAGGAGGGAGAGGAGGAGGAGGAGGAGAGGAGGAGGGGAAGGAGAGAGAGAGCGGCCGGGATCCGCGCGCGCGTGATGGGCGCCGTGTCTACTGGTGGCGTCGAAGGTGAGGAGGAGGGAGTAGGGGCAGGGGGAGAGAGAGGAGGAGGGGAGACAGGAGGGAGGGAGAGGAGGAGAGGAGGAGGGAGGTAGGAGGAGGAGGAGGGGGCGGCTGCGGAGGAGAGAATATGAGGAGGGAGGAGGGGGAAGGAGGAGAGAGCGGGCCCGAGCCGGGATCGCGGAAAGCAGGCGCAGGGGCCAGGCGTGGGGATAGAAGTGATGGGGTGCCGTGGGTCTACTGGTAGTGGGCCGTCGAAGGGTGAGGAGGAGGGGGAGGAGGGGGGGGAGGAGGGAGAGAGGAGAGCGGGGAGGAGGGAGGAGGAGGAGAGAGAGAGAAGAGCGCCGGGGATCGCGCGCATAGGCGAGTGATGGGTGGCCGGTGGGTCCTAAATATCACTCCTGTGGCGTCGAAGGGTGAGGAGGAGAGGAGGAGAGGGAGAGGAGGGGGAGGAGGAGAGATGCGGAGAGTAGGCGTAGGCGACTCCCTAGACTCGTTAGTGGAGTAGGCGAGGTACGGTCCGCCATATTACATAGTACCAGGGTATGTTCCGGTGTACCAGACCGTACCCAGGGTACTTTCCGGCAGTACCCCGGAGGACATAGACCCTCTCAGCCCTACTCGCCCTAACCCTAACCATATCACTATCATATAGTTACTAGACAATAATACACCACAGTGTAACTCTCTTGTCCATTGTTTCAGATTGAGTCCCATCATTTGTAATCTGTATCAAGTACCATCATTGAATAAAGACTGATTCACAAAATGGATGCGTTCCTATCTAGTTACCAGGGTACGTTCCGGTATACCAAACCCATAAAAAAGACTGTCTTCAGTACATGTAATTGTATTTGAAATACATGCAATAAACATTTAATAATAAATAACTATAAATTAATGGCGATACAACGCATTGACATTGACTGTTTGACAACATCAAGACCAAACTCAGTCAAAACTACCTGCGAATATGGAGTATGATAACTTAATGTTCTCGCAGTCTGTAGCCCAACTGTTTGTTTTAACAGGGTAAATATATTTGATGTGCACAGGCGTCTATCGTGGATCTGAAGCGAAAAATACAGCAGTAAACGTCGCTTATGGTCGAAATTTCCACAGCAACGCGAAGCAATGGACGCCGCCATGTTGGCGATAGCGATGCAGCATGGGAAGATTTACACGCAAGTTTGCGGTGAAATCTTGAAGTAGTTGAATGACTATTTCTCGTGTGGGTGGGCGCTAAATGTCATCTTTGTATTATTTATGGATTTTTTTCGTATAGGTAGCCTGCCGCATGCCTATTTAACTATATAACTATTTTTGGGTGATTCATTCATTATTTACGTCTGCAAATTCGCGGAGATGCGCATAGACTGGTACCCGTTCGCCACCTTGACTCCGGCATTTATCCTTCGCTACACTGACGTTAGTGTAGCGTGTGGAACTGTCGACCAGTCTAAGATGCGTACAGTTGGCCCATTGGATCGTGTCGCCCTCACGCGGGGAACCCGGAAACTTTCAGTCAAAGACTCAAATTACTGTGTGATAACGCCAGAGCATATAAATCAACGATTGATTTATATGCTCTGATATCGCCAACATCTCGCGCAAATTTCGAAGAAAATAACGATAAATAAAATCAAAGCTCTGCCGCTAACTGTACTGCGATATCCATTTTTCAATATTCCGCGGAAAAGGATGTCGACAACGCCTGTGTTCGTTATCTTACGGTGACCTATTTCGTCATAGGAGTATAAGGACCGAGATAGCGCCGCCAGTGGCCGAGTGAAGAGGGAGCGAAAACGTGGGAAAACAACAGTAGGCAGCATCGCAGCGTGGCGTTGAGCTGAACATTGCGAAAGCCCAGCAATCGACAACGTCAGTCATGACTGAGGGAGACCGAAGTGAATCCACCGTGCTGACTCCTCCGGGATTAACGTGTGCTGCCGAGTGCGTAAAGGACACGGCCAAGGTTCCCGATGGAGAGGCGAGAGTCCGCAAACTTCGACTAAACGACCAAATACGAGAACTGCAGACCGTACTGAGAGACAAGTAATACTAATAATAATGCTAATACTAATAATAAGTCCACGTGTTTGTTCGCGCGCCATTCCGCCACCGTGTGTATACGCACGTACGGTACACAGTGTCTAGATAACGTCACGTGTAATCAGGAGTCTGTCAATACTGTTACTGATAGATCAATATTGATAGACTCCTGGTGTAATCGCATGTATTGATGGAAGTGGGTTGGAATTTTCGTATGTGTGTATATTGGCTGTAGCCGGTATGAAAAAAAGCGTGGGTGCATGCTTCATGCTACTTGCTGATAGGGTCTATGTCTCTCTGGGTACTGCCGGAACGTACCCTGGGTACGTATACCGGAATGTACCCTGGTAACTACATCTGATATGGTTAGGGTTAGGGTTAGGGAGTAGGCGTAGGCGACTCCCTAGACTCGTTAGTGGCCGAGTAGGCGGGGTACGGTCCGGCATATTAGATAGTACCAGGGTACGTTCCGGCAGTACCCAGGGAGACATAGACCCTGGCAGCGCTACTACTAGTATTTGTATTAATTGTAAAGTTGATATTGCATTGGGATTTTGGCAACTTGACAGTGCTGTGTCTGTATATTGTTTGCACAGGAACACCACAAGGAGTGACTTCGTGTTCTATGCCGACCGATTGGTAAGTATATGATACGGGTTTGTTGTAATCTGTATTCAGAAAGATTAAGATAACCGATACAGTCACCGGCGTCTCTGCGTTATACCGTCACCATGGCCAACATGATTGGCTGCACCTCTTTGTGTCCGCCTTTTCCATGCTAAACTCATAACCTTTCATAAGATTTATCATGGTCAGGTGAAGATTGGCATTCCCTCTTGCTTGATGAAGCCTGTTCGTTGCACTCGATCATCTGAGCGTGATCATTGTTTTCGAAAAATGACATCTTCAAAAGATCCCTTTAAGTTTAGCTTCTTTGTTTCTGTCATTGCCTTCTCTTCCTTCATCTGTGGTTAATTGTAAATTTGGAGCTTTTCCTACTGTGATCTGCAGTATTGGGCTGTCTATTTGATCAACATTGTCTTATTCCATCTTCGATATATAATAGTCTCTTGGATTTTAAAGACTAATCTTCATGAGGATGGTCCTGCATTGTATTACCCAGATCCGAATTAGAATTAGGGTAGAGTAGGAACTGCATAACAGCTGTCAACAATGTTGAATGGCACTCTAAGTTCTAACCATAATCTCTAACCCTAACCTTATCTCTACCTATAAGTTGGATTCTATCCATAAGTGTAACCTTAATTCGTAGTACAAACCCGTATTCCGGGCCACAGTTACTTCGTCATACAATTCGCTCACGATTAGCGAATCGGCGATACAGTGCTTCAGCTAAATATTATTGTTTTTGAAAGGAGAAGGTGCGTGGGTGGGAGTGTCGGCGAGCGATAAGGGACCGGTGCTCGTTCAAAGGTCAGGTCAGGGTGCGTGTTGATACTAGGTCACTCGCGACGCTGTCTACTGTTCTCTTGTTGCCGAAGAAATGCCCGAGCATTCCGTGCGCGTGAGTCGTACCATGTTCTCTTGTTTCGGAAGAAACGCCCGTTCATTCTTCGAGCCCCCTCCCTCCCACAGTCTCTCCCTCTCTCCATTCCTCCCTCCCCCTCTCTCGTTTCCGAAGAATCGGAAATACCCCACCCCCCGTACATCGCACGAGTCCTACACTCAGCCGTTCTCTTGTTTTTTTCCGTCGCCAGATACGCCTCGTTGTTGAGGAAGGCCTCAACCAGCTCCCGTACAACAAATGCACGATCACGACGCCGACCGGCGTGAAATACGACGGGCTGCGATACGAGCGAGGCAACTGCGGCGTCAGCATCATGCGCAGCGGTACGTGGCGCCACCTGGTGGCGGCGCAGGGGGGGTCGGGGGGCGGCGCGACGCGATTTTTCGCTGTTCCGGAGGGTCGGTGCGGATTTGTTTGCCGGTGAACTCCGGGTGTGGCCGCGGTGGAAAGTTTCAACGAACNGCGATTTTTCGCTGTTCCGGAGGGTTGGTGCGGATTTGTTTGCCGGTGAACTCCGGGTGTGGCCGCGGCGGAGAGTTTCAACGAACGAACGAGTGACAACGCGAGATAAACAAACCCCGCGAGGGGGGGGGGCAGGGGGCAGATAGTCGATCACTTCCGCCAAGCCTACTGGACGCTTCGTGCGTCATCGAGCGGGGTCAAGTGTACTTCATGACCCTCAGGTCCACAGTCAGATAGGGCTGATGCTAGGTTAGTGTATGAGGCATATAGTTACATAGAGTTAGATAGAGGCATGAGCCTGAGGTTAGCAGAGTATACTTACAGAGTTGAATTTGAAGTATGACGTTAGGGATAGTTCAAGGTTGAATTTGAAACATGAGGTTAGGGATAGTTCAAGGTTGAATTTGAAACATGAGGTTAGGGATAGTTCAAGGTCGAGTTTGGTCAAGGGTAAGCGTTAAACGGTATTTTTTCAAGTTGGCAGTTGGCCACACCGGTACAACATCAGAGAAATCTCGCTCGCGAAAGGAAATCGTTTAAAAAGATAAAATGCCGCCGCGACACTCGGCGCCACTTGTTTCAACATGGTGGCTCGTGTTGCAGGCGAGGCGATGGAGAAGGGACTGCGCGAGTGCTGCCGCTCGATACGCATCGGCAAGATTCTCATACAGAGCGACGAGGACACGCACGAAGCGAAAGTGTTCTACGCAAAGTTCCCGAACGACATCCGGAAGCGAAAGATACTTCTCATGTACCCAATCATGAGTGAGTTGTTGTTGTTGTTGTTGTTGTTGTTGTTGTTGTCTGCTCATGTACCTAATCATAAGTGAGTTGTTGTTGTTGTTGTTGTTGTCTGCTAATGTACCCGATCATGAGTGAGTTGTTGTTGTTGTTGTTAGTGTTTCACTCATGATTGGGTACATTAGCAGACAAGTTGTTGTTGTTGTTGTTGTTGTCTGCTCATGTACCCAATCATGAGTGAGTTGTTGTTGTTGTTGTTGTTGTTGTTGTTGTTGTTGTTGTCTGCTCCAACAACAACAACAACTCACTCATGATTGGGTACATTCACCGTGTGGTGTAGAGAACGACCAGCACTCACCGTGTGGTGTAGAGAACGATCAGCACTCACCGTGTGGTGTAGAGAAGAGATTAAGCATGATGATGTTGACCTCCTGAGCGCCGTGCTCCTTAAGAATGTTGATAGCTTTGATCACAGTGTTGCCCGTACCTGCCAACAACAACAATAGCAACAACAACAACAACAACAACAACAACAACAACAACAATGGTAGCTTTAATAACATTGTTGCTTGTACCTGCCAACGACAACAATAACAATAGCAACAACAACAACAACAACAACAACAACAACAACAACAGTAGCTTTAATAACATTGTTGCTTGTACCTGCCAACGACAACAATAACAATAGCAACAACAAGTGCTGATCGTTCTCTACACCACACGGTGAGTGCTGATCGTTCTCTACACCACACGGTGAGTGCTGATCGTTCTCTACACCACACGGTGAGTGCTGATCGTTCTCTACACCACACGGTGAGTGCTGATCGTTCTCTACACCACACGGTGAGTGCTGATCGTTCTCTACACCACACGATGAGTGCTGATCGTTCTCTACACCACACGGTGAGTGCTGATCGTTGTCAGTGGCTTGATTCGATTCTCTACACACACGGTGAGTGCTGATCGTCTCTACACCACCACGGTAGTGCTGTCTTATCGTTTCTTACACCACACGGTGAGTGTATCGTTCTCTACACCACGGTGAGCTGGCTGATCAGCTCTCCTACACCACACGGTGATGCTGATCGCTTCTCTAACACCCTACACGCGGTGAGTGCCTGATGCGTTCTCTACACCACACGGTGAGTGCTCGCATCCGTTCTGCTACACCACCTTGAGTGAGTGCTGACATCGCCTCTCTACACACACCGGCGGTGATTGCTGATCGTTCTCTCACCACCTCACCACGGTCGAGTGCTGGATACGTCTCGTTACACCAGCACCGACAGTCGAGTGCCCTGATCTGTTCTCTACACCACCACGGGTGAGTGCTGATCGCTTCCTCTACACCACACGGTGAGTGCTGAGTCGTTGCTCCATCTACACCCACACTGGTGAGGTGTGCTGATCGTTCTCTACACCACACGGGTGAGTGGCTGATCGTTCTGCTACACCACACGGGTGGTGCTGAATCGTTCTCCCACCACACGGACTGAGTGCTGGATCGTTCTGCATACACCACGCACGGTGAGCTTCTGAGTTCGTTCGTTACACCACACGCGGGCGTCAGTGTCTGATCGTTCTCTACGACCACACGGTGACGTGCTGATCGTCCTCTACACCACACGGTGAGTGCTGCTTCGTTCTCGTACACCACACTGGGAGTGCTGGCCGGTTCTTCTACACCACACGGTGGAGTGCTTGCAGTCGTTCTCTCGCTCTGTCTCACGTCGGGTCACTCTCTCTCTCACGTCTCTCTCTCTTCGTTCTCGCTCTCTCTCTCTCCTCTGTCACTCTCTCTCTCGTTCTCTGCTCTCTTTCTCATTCTCTCTCTGCTGCCTGCTCTGCTCTCTCTCCTCTCTCTTCTCTCTCATCTCGTCCTTCTTGTCTCTCGTCCTCTCCTCTCTCTCATTTGTCTCTCTTGTCTCTTCTTTTGTCTTCTCTTGCTCGTTCTCCTGCATCTCTCACTCTCTCTCTCTCTCTCTCTCTCTCTCTCTCTCTCTCTCTCTCTCTCTCTCTCTCTCTCTCTCTCTCACTCTCCCTCGCTCTCTCTCTTTCTTTCTCTCTTTCTCGCTCTCTCCCTCTCTCTCCTCCTCTCTCTCTCTCTTTGTCTCGCTCTCTCTTTATCTCTCTCTCTTTATCTCGCGTGTAACTTGAGATTCTCCCCCTCTCTCTCTACCGCAGGCGTGTCGTCCGTCTTATCCACATTCCCCGATATCACAATGCTCACCACGGAGATACACCAGGACGCGCCCAACCATTTCGGCGCCCGCTACTTCGGCACCGAGTGACGACGCCCGTAGATGGCGCCACCGCGGGCTGGCGGGTCTCATCTCGTCTCAAGCGTAGGTGGCGAAGCGATGAAGAAAACCCGTATGAATTCGCGTCGGTCCGCGGGTGGGTGCGTGAGCGAGTGGGTGGGCGGTGGAGGGAGGGGAGGGCGTTTCGCGGAGGTTTAACGGACGGAGACGATTCGTCGGAGGTTTGCCGGAGATTTACTGGCGATTTACTGGAGAAATGCTCGAGATTTACTGAGGATTTATCGGAGATCCACCGGGAATTTGCCGTGGATTTTCCGGGGATTCAGTCGGAAGACGGACGCTAGGATTTGCTCCGATTCATCTTCCCACCCATGTTCCCGCTTCCCAGACGCGGCCGCGCGCGCGATAGAAAAGTGCGGGGTGCCGATTTCTTCCATCTGCTTTTTTTGTGTTGACGTGTCCGATTCACAACGTGCCAATAATTAAATAGAGCTTAACGACTTGACGTGCAGGCATGCAAAGAGACGAGAGAGAGAGAGGGAGAGGGAGAGGGAGAGGGAGAGGGAGAGGGAGGGGAGAGGAAGAGAGGAAGAGAGGGAGAGAGTGAGAGGAGGGAGAGGAGGGAGAGGAGGAGAGAGAGAGAGAGAAGAAAAGAGAGAGAGAGAG